TGCAAGCAAAACTCGAGTTCAGTCATTGCTCAAAGGTTCGTACTGCACTCCTCCCTGAACATGCTCATTGATCACTCGCTGCATACAAAACCGTAGAACTACCAAAGAATACCCATTAACAACCCAGAGGTGTGTCGAAGTCAACCTGTAAAACTGAAGATCCCCGGGCAGTGGGCATGCACCCCGCGAAGAATCGCTACATACCCCCGACAACATCCGTCCTAAGCACTTGATACACCCTACATTGGTATGTCAAAAAAATGCGAGGTCCTTATTATAATCTCCAGAATGAAAGCCCTAATTTTCGGAAACCCAAAACCCCATGTGGCCCTACATAACCCATCCCTATATAACCCCAATATAATCCCCACATACTCCCTACATCACCCCTATATGAACACTATATAACCCCCATGTAAGCCCAATATGATAACCCTCTCATCATCCAGGGACTGTACGGGTCACCCCTAATAGGGACCCCTAGTCCTGTTGCCACATATAACCCTTCTATAGTCATCATATAGCCCCTATATTCCTAAGTAGTTCCCATGTTAGCCTCCATATGCTTCAAGGGTCCCTACTAGGGGTCCCTCCTAAAGTCCTTAGATATCAAGGGCCATCCCGCCTCGTAGGGATTGTTGGTCTTGTCCCGCCCTAACAGGCTGGCAACCCCAGACCTTATGAAGCCGTTCTTTTAGGAGGAAGCCCCCACCCTGCTAGGGTTTAGAAGGTTAGAGTCTAGCGTTTAGGGTTCAGGGGGTTAGGGTTTAGGGTTTAAGGGGTTAGGGTTTAGGGTTTAGGGGGTCAGGGTTCAGGGTGGTATAATTACGGTATAATAGGAATATATGAGGACCCTAATGTAACCCTCATTATCCCTTATAGTCACTATAGCTGGGTGGGGGTCCACCTAGCCGTTCCCCGTCCCCAAGTACGAAGTGCTTTATTGGTCGTTAAAGGGGTCTCATAAAGGGCCTAGTCAAACATATCTGCGGTTACCTACTGTGGTAACAGCTACTGTGAAGGGGGAGTGACCTAACAGATAAGATATTCTGCAGAAGGGATGATACAACCTTACTCCGCACAGGGGACCATAGTCAGGGATCTGTAGCTGCTGAGAGAAGATGAAGGAGCATAACATCTTACAATCATGCCCTAAACCCTAAACCCCTAAACCCTAAAGCCCAGAATGCCAAACCTCGAGCTCGGCGCCCTCCCAAACTAATATCAGGATTTAGGGTTGAGGGTTTGGGAGAGGCCCCACCAAAAAAAAACTGTCCTGTGGCAACGCGGCCACATGAGCATTTCTCAAAATACTTCTTAAATGATCCCTGATAATGACCCCGACATTACCATTGCATTCCTCTATTGTCTATCCCTTTAATCGTCAAATAGACCCTATCTCCAGATCATGTTCTATGTTTCACTTCTGTTTGAGTCCCCATCGTCTACTGGTCTCGCCTCCTAAAAAAGAAACATCGAATCCAAATTACCATGCTGGCTTCCATGACCTTTTCCACTCCACAAAAATAATCCCCATAGAGGCCAAGCTCGTATAATCCGTATGATCCCCAGAATCCCTATATAACCCCCATAATCCCCATATAATCCCCATATAATCCCTATACAATCCCTAAAACTAAACCCTAAACCCTAAACCCTAAACCTAAAAAAACCTCGATGTATGATTCCAGAGAGACCGAAACCAAAGGCATCTCAGGGGATGACTTGCACACTGCCACGCAGCTCTGGAGGAAGCCCTGCCTCAGCAATACGCGGAAAATTCGTAGGGAAGAGTTAAGAAAGTGTGTAATTAGTAGGCATTTCGCTGGGCTTGCAGGATCTGAGGGTTTAGGATTTAGGGTTATGGATTGATGTTTTTCTTTCAAGCCCTGGGACGGTTACGTCAGCAGGCTCGGGATCCCCTGCAGTAGGACAAAGTGACTCATGCATCACCCCAGGGAATAGGAAATGGGGGACGGGGGTGGGGCGGCCTTAAACCCTAAACCCCCAACCCTACACCCTGAACCTTGTCTCGAAATGAGGGGTATCCTCAGGGACCCCAAGGATAGAAAGGGTTTGTTGGGGTATCGCGTGGAGCCTTATAGGGTATTAATTGAACTCGGAATTCAGAAGGTCCCCTCTTGTGACAAAATAGGACCAGGGTTAGTTCCAGGATCAGTGCAGAAAAACACCCTAAACACCAAACGCCCCTAACCCCCAAAACTGGAAAATGGTCAGAAACTCCAAGTCGGCACACAATGATTCAGGGTTTAGGGTTCTGTACAAACACTAAACCCTAAACCATATAGGGCTTCAAGACTCAAGTGCCTGAAGTGAGTGTTCCGAGAGGAATTATGTTTCAAGGGTTTACGGTCTTGCAAAATTTAGCTCCACTCATCCTAATTTCCTAAACCCTAACAACCAAAACCCTGCACTTGGAATCCTAAAACCCAATCCCTGAACCCTTCACCCAAAACCCTCTAAACACTTAACCCTACTCCCTATAATTACACCCCAAACCCTACTTCCTGAACCCTTCATCCAAAATCCTGGGCCCAACGCCTGTGAAGGGACCCTAAAGGTACCTGAGCCTCACAGTCTTACAACCAACCACCCTAAACCCCAAACCCTAAACCCTAATCCCTAAACCCTAATCCCTAAACCCTAAACCCTAAACCACTAAACCACTAAACCCTAAACCCCAACCGACCACCGTGTAAGCTGGGGCCCCGGCGGCGCCTCGCCCGAAGCCGCTTGCGCCTCGCTCTCCTGAGAGGAATTTACTCAGGGCATTTAGAGGGATTAGGGTTTAGGGTTTAGGGTTTAGGGTTTAGGCTTTAGGGTTTAGGGTTTAGGATTTCGGGTTTAGGGTTTAGGGTTTAGGATTTAGGGTTTAGGCTTTATAGGGATTATACCTTTAAGTTTAGGATAATGGAAAATACAATGGAAACTACTATAATGGGTGATAATATGGGGTTTAGGGTTCAGGGGTTGGGATTCATGGGTAAGGTTTTTTTGTTTTTTTTTCTCGGACCTTTTTCCTTGGCAGGAATGCTGTCTCAGCAAGGCCAGTGATGAGGCGCAGTCGCTCACTTACGGAGACACCGGCTCAGAAGGTGCTGCTGGAGCGCAGCAGAAATTCAGGTCCCTCTCATCTCAGGTCTCTAATCCCCGGCGACGAGGTGACAAACCCTGGGTACGACCTTCGGCCATTCAACCCCAACCCTAACCCTAACCCTGAGGCCCTCACTGGTCGAAGCGCTCGTTGCTGGATCTCAGGTCAGCTCACTCCATCCACAGCAGCACCAGTCATGCTTAAGGGTTTAGGGGTTGGGGTTTAGAGTCTAGTGATTACGATTTAGGGTTTAGGGGTTGGGGTTTAGGCTTTAGGGTTGGGTCCTGCCCCCACCCATGAACAGTCTATAATTGGCGTCATATTAAGGGCTCTATATAGTTCATTTATAAATACGATTAATAAAGAGGTGGAGTACCCCAATTCAAAAGGAGTATATAGGCATTATATAACGGATATAAAGCGTTTAGAGAGTTCGTTCACATGAAACTGGCAGCTAACATAGAAACTGGGATGGTTTAGGGATTTAGAGGCATTGTAGCTACATCACGAAATGCTAGAATTGTCTACAACGATAATGATGAAAAAGCGTGAATATAAGAGACTATAGCAGTATCATAATTTCACAAGTAGCTAGAAGACACCGAGGGATATGACATGGTTATAGCTGGACCCTAAACCCTAAACCCTTGACCCGAAACTCTTGACCCTAAACCCTTTACCCTAAACCCTTGACCCTAGACCCTTGACCCTTTACCCTACCTGGAGTTTACTGGATCCCCACACCATCACAGTGTCCAATAAATAATCCGTTCTCTTTTCGCTTTGATTCTCCAGTATCCCGTCCCTGGACTCCACCAACTCTTGCTTTTTCTGCCAACCATCAGCCAACTTCGGGGGTTTAGGGTTAAGGGTTTAGTTTTTGAGGTTTAGGGGTTGGGAAAGTATGGTTCTAAGAAAACAGAAGACCCTTGGACCCCTAAACCCTAAGCCCCCCTAAACCCCACTTGTATATGGTAGCTTCCCAACGGGAGTATAGGAGGCCTCCCTAAGCATTATCCAGGAGTCGTTAGGAGGAACTCCCATACGTTCAAGCAAGCAAGGTTTTATTCCTCATATAATATACCATACTCAAAAGGAGGATATAATCTTAATCTCTGATGGAGGCTATAGTAGCTGCAAATAAAATGCTACTCATATGTTTTGGTCCACAGTATCTACTTCAAGAATCATCTCGGCGCATTTCTACAGTGGGCGATTCCAAAACAGGACTTCCATGGCGGGATGCTTGCGCGGTGAGGCTCTAAGCTATGAAGTTGAGAAGGTTCTGTGGATATGGGGATCCCAATATGCTTTGGATTTAGGGTTTAGGGTACTACAGGGAAGGAACCCTCAACTTACGAAAGCCGCAACCCTCTGAAATCATAAGATAAACCCTGCTTCCATTTCACCGTCCAGATTCCATCTTCTTTACCATTTCAGTCTTCAGTATTGGGCGTAATAAGCCCTAAGCTCTAAACCCTGAGTAAAGCAGTAGCCTCCATTTCTTTTCCACTCCCCATTGAATATATCCGCATAATTTTCGGAAACCTCACAAAAAATTGGGGAGCTCAGGAACCATCGCCGTCCGTGACCTCAGATCCTGTAGCAGTCAAAGCCAACTTGCAGCTTCACCCGACATGGCCCGTCACAGGTATCATACCCTAAACCCCAAACCTCAAACCCTAAACCCTAGACCTTAAACCCTAAACCCTAAACCCCAAAGCCCAAAGCCCAAAGCCTAAACCTTAAACCCTAAACCCTAACCCCTAAGCCTTAAACCCTAAACCCTAAACCTTAAACATCCTTAAACCCTAGACCCTAAACCCACAGGGTTAGGGTTTAGGATTTAAGGGCTTGGTGCTTCGAGTTTAGGGTTCGGGAGCTCCTGTCGGAACTTCTCCTCAGTCTCCTTGTCCTGCCAAAGTTTAGGGTGTAGGGTTTCGGGTTCATGGTTTAGGGGTTTAGGGTTTAAGGGTTTAGGGGTTTAGGGTTAAGGTTTAGGGTTTAGGGGTTTGGGGCTTAGGGTTTTTTATCTTTTAAATCCCCTCGGCTCTTTTGATGCCTAGCTTGCGCTCGGGAGTGCAGAGTTTAGGGCAGCGCCCAAGCATGAAAAGTTGTTGCACAACCCAAATGCTGACCTAAGTTTAAAAAGGGTATTTAATGGGAACCCTAAACAGGGAACCCCGAAAATATAGTAGGAATATAATAGGATTATACCTACCAGGTCCTTGTATTCCCAGTATGTTCCTACTAAATTCTTGGGGCTCCGGGTTCCCGGTTTGGGGTTCCCAGTAGAATCCTTTTTTACATTTGCAGGATCCTCTACTTCACCTCCCATGCCTCCCGATCCTCTCCCACAAAAACACATAAGGCCTAGTTAACGCTTATCTAGGTTTTTATCGGGGGGAAGGGGAGTAAGGGGGGGTGTAGTCTAGCATCCCATGACAAATGAGCATTTCACCTGACACCTGAAGCAATGTAGGTATCAGCGATATAAAATATACTTGACAGTAATATCTATCACAGACTTACCCAAACGACTCTAAACCAAACATAGTCGAAGTGTCAGAAATGTGGGAGATTCCCACAATCAGGGCACCCCAATATAGACCCCAAAAATACTATAATTCCTACTATATGATACCCCAACACGGTACCCCCCAATTTTGGGAAACCCCCATGCGGCTAAACGGCCCCAAACACGAAACCTGCAAGCCCGAATCTGAAATCCTCAACCCTACTTTGGGGTTTAGGGTTTAGGGCCTACATAGTCCGATCCATACTTCAAGGGTCAGGGGAGACTTAGTAGGCAGGGTCAGGGTTTAAGGTTTAGGGTCTGGGGGACTTAGTAAGTAGGTTTATAATGGGGATGAATAGGTTACTATATGGGTCATAGGGGTTATTAACCTGCTTACTAAGTCTGCCTGACCCTCCAAGCAAACCCTAAACCCGTTACTCGCATGCGGTTTAGGTTTTATGTTTAGGGGTTTGGGTTACCCCTGACTAAACATTACTAAACCTTCAACCCTACATCGTATACCTTAAGCCTCTTCCACCAGCGAAAATCGGCTACGCTGAACCCTAAACCCTGCACCCCAAACCCCCAAATCCTGAGCCCTAACTTCTAAACCCTAAATACTGCATTCAAAATCCTAAGTCCATACCCTAAATCCTAGATCTTACGCCCTAAATCCTCAAATAATATGTTTAATAACTCCATAGGGTTATACTGTAATAAACTTCAACAAAAATTCCTAAGGAGACTACACTACAAACATCCCAAAGAATCGGCTCCGGCTGGCCTCAACTTGAAAATGTTTCGCCTCAGCGCCAGCGCTGCACAGCGTGGATGCGGAGGTCAGATATCATGTTTGGGGTTTAGAGGTTTGAGGTTTAGGGTTTAAGGTCTAGGGGTTTAGGGCTTAAGGTCTAGGGGTTTGGGGGTTTGGGGTTGAGGGCTTATGGATTAGGGCTCAGAGATTTGGTAAAGGGTTTAGGGTGAATGGTTTAGTGTTGAGGAATTTGTCTACTGCAGCATCAGAGGTTTTGGGTCAAGGATCGTAAATATACGTAGGGATTGTAAGGACATATGGGGGGTTAGGAGATTTTGGTTACCCCAAACCCCAAAATAGCAAATTACATTCAACCCTGAACCCTAAACCCTGGGTTCTAATTTTGCGGCTTGAGGTTGCCATAACCCTTTGACTAGCAACATGTAGGGCCTTCGAAGGGCTTATAGAGTATAAAGCGATTTATAGGGATGTCTAGTGTAGGGCTAAAGAGGTAGACTTTCAAAACATTGAACATGGTTAAGGCATTGTCAGACAGCTCCTTTTCAAGCCTACAGGTGTACATACAAATACGATGTTGTTCAAAAACCGTCTTGACATGCAAGGGCTATGAAGGGGCATGCGGATCATGTATAGAAGGTTTGGGGTGCAGAGGGTGTAGGGGCTTACATGATTAGAACACATGTCCGAGCTGCATTATCTGCCAAAGTGAAATCACGATTGTAGCCCTGTGCATGCAGGCTGCTACATTGCATGTTTTCTTGCATCCAGGTCGCAATGATTGCAAAGAACATGTTCACCAACACGTACCTGTTCGCAATTGAGGGCCGGAGTCTAGACATGGATCACGTGGCTTGACCGCGCAACACTGTATTCCACCTGCCTGAAAAGAACCATGTAGGTGTACCAGTAGAAGAAGTACCTGGACACAGGGGGCAAGCTCACGCATCCTGCTGTTAAGGCTTGAGACTTCAGACAGCGGCCTCAACTGGGTACAAGCAGGTGATGTTTCTGTGTCACCACAATCCTAACAAGTAGCATGAACCAAGACTTGTCTCTGTCGTGGCAGGGAATTTGCTGCTGCTGCTGCTGGTGCCGCCACCCGCGGCTGCTGCTGTTCTGTGGCCGCTGCCATGGTCGCTGCTGTTGCTGTTGCTACCGTTGACGTAGGAGTAGAGTAGGACCCTGATACAATGGCTGTTGACAAAAGTTGCCCCGCATGCCGGCGACCCCTGAATCATACAATCCTTCTTTTTTTAAGAAATCTAGAAAACCAGTCCATGACTTTGCGACCTCTCATATGAGCTGTAGTCTAAACTCCGAGTATTCCCCTTAAGAACCCCTATAATCGTCCCCTATATAACCCCCTTTAAGGAATTTAGCCTATGGCTTATATTGCGGGAAACTTCTATTGATCAACCAGTGCGGCTATGCCACGCGATGCTGTTGGCTTGCCGCATGACCTCGAAGTTTCGGAACGTTCCGAGGAACATCTGAAAGCCTCGTGAAGTTGGGCAGCTAAATCAGAATGGGGTTAGGGGTTTAGGCTTTCGGGTTTTAGGGTTTTAGGTGTAGGATTTAGGGTTCAGGGTTTAGGGTTCAGGGTTGAGGGTTTAGGGTTTTGGGCTTTAGGGTTTAGGGTACTACACCTGTAGCAGGTTTTTATAAAAAATACGTTTGAACGCAACCCAATTGGATGAAGCTAGTAAGTAGCTAGCTCGTTCCCTTGGGTACACAAGTCTTTTAACTTCATTTGAAATAATCCACGAAGGCAACTTTTGCTCCCCTCGAAGTGAGGCCGCGGGACAGGTGATGAGCGAGTACTGGACAGTGGAGAAGTCCACCATGATAGTCCCGAAGACCGTGTGGCCCATGGCCACCTGGGTAGTGTTTTTGGGTGCTGAACAGGGTAAGGCTTTATTCCTAGGAAGCGGCGAAAACGAAACAAAAAAGAATCAATCGTATACCAACTTCAAGCAGTACGTGCTTTCAGTTTCGGATTTAAAGGTCATTAGTGCTTGTGTGTCACCTGATTTCAGGCATGTCAGCAGCTCTAAACGTGTTGGGACTGTTTCGTGCACATTTCATCTTGGCACCAATTACTTTGTGGAGCCTGCTTTTCTGTGATACACAACAGGAACTATGGTTTGGGTCTCTACCCATTCGTATCCAGCCACATAGCCCATGAGGATCACGACCATCACCACCAGGAAGCCTCATTCTGGCATGAAGCTGATAGGGAGTCCCGGCGCTAGGGGTTTAGGGCTTAGGGTTTAGGGTTTAAGGTCCAATTTCACTGTTGTTCCTATACCTACCTGCTGCGAGTGGCACAAGCAAATACAGGTAGTATAGGGGCTGAAATAATTGTCAATAGAATTTTGAAGTCTGTGTGAGATACCCTATACTACAAATATACAAGGGATCTAGGTCTTTAAAAAAGGTATCTACTTATTTAGGCCCCTACATGAATGCCAGGAATGCTTTCGAATCAGACTGGCCGATCTGATTTGTCGTCACGGTGCAGAAGATGTCGGCTGCCCCCCGGATGATGGTGTTGGAGATAACCCTGGCCAAGTGTGATATATTGGGGGTTTCCCAAAATGAGGGGGAGGTACCCTTAAAGGGGATAAAGGGGTTATATAGTTATATAGGGTTATATAGGGTTCAGAGTCGAAGATACCCCTGGCCAAGTGCATTCTTCTCTCTTTGCTCGTATTGGGATGCTGTAGCCATAGCATAACGGGGTGGTACTCAAGAGTCTTTAGAAGCCCCTAAAACAACCAAAAAGAAAGATCAGAATCCCAAAGTGTCACCTGCATACCCGAAACCCTAAATCCACTGAATAATGCCAGAAGTCAGACTAGTCATGCAATAGCTTTGGACAAGACTATGGTGGCAGCTGCGGTATGTAGGACAGGGCATAGCCCTATCCCTGTTCAGAGCCAAAAAGAGTCATAGTGTAAACTCCTAGTATCCCCCTTTGTAGCCCCTATAGTAGTCCCCTATAGAAACCCCAATATAGCCCCCCGAAAGGAGCTTAGACTATGGCTCATAAGAATTGAAAGTTTAGCTCATCCCGTTTTGTGCTAGGAGTTGCCACCAAAGGCAAGAGGAGTTCTAGCAGCCCGGTATGTCCCTTTGAGGACACTTACTGCAAGGCATAGTGCATAAGTCCAACAATAGCAATAGTCATACTAGTCCTACAAAAACAAGCTATAAGAGCTGCGCAGGCTGAACCCTAAACCCTAAGCCCTAAACGCAGCGGACCGGCCTGCAGTAGGGATAGGCCTCCAAGTACTTCTGAGAGCATACAAACAGGAAGATGGTGTTGGCCTTGGGCATTTAGGCTGAGGAGTTAGGGTTCAGGGTTTATCTATACCCAGACCCAAAATTTCCGGATATGGCGCTTAGGAATATTACCCCTATACGGGGATATCTAGGGGGAATGGCAAAGGAAATGGAAGGGGTTGCGGTGCGGGGTGATGGTTTTACGATTTTCTGGTGTCTGAACCCAGTAAGATGACATTTTCTTAGAACTTGCTATGCCAACCAGAGGGATTCCGTCTTACTCTGTACTGGGGACTGTGGTACTGTTCACGGACCACGGCCGAAACTACTGGAATTTACCTAGAATGGCATTTGAGCACGTTACAAAAGCTGCGACGAGCTTTGATGTGCGGATCCGCATGAAGAAAGCTGCTGAACTGTGCTTGTGGCTCAGGTCACCAAAACTCGGAAGAGACAGATCGTGATCTCTCAATTTCGTTCCACACATTTGAACGTTGACTAAGGTCGCCACCGCACATATTTGGGCAAATGACCTGGCAGCACAATAACAAACCTATGGACAACCCAAGAGGCATGGGTTTCAATTCAGGCTCAAGTTTAGAAGTTTGAAGGGTTTCGGGTTTAGGGGAAGGTTGGAAAGTGTAGGGATAAGGCGGTTTAAGGGCATCGCGGGTCCAGCAAGGTCAACGTCAGGAATATCTGGAAGAAAATCTTATGGGACAAACACGCTGACTCCTTGCTTGCTGTCATCCACACAAAGCTAACTCGAAACCCGAAACCCCTTACCAGGTGGGGGATTCATTGGCAGACCCTTAAGGGAAGGCAGCGGTGCTCTCAGAAGGAGCCCCATTCATCCCTTATCCTGGGTTGCTGTTAAGGAACTTAAATTAAGTTACTATATTGGGGAAACCCTATTATTTACGATATATATATATATACCCATTAGGGTAACTTAATTTAAGTTCCTTACCAGCAACATCTTACTTGTTCTTAGTAGGGAATAAGGGAATAGAATCCCTATATAACTCCTATACAATATATTCTCACATTGCATACTCACCCCCAGTAAGTTATCCTTCCCCAAAGGCGTCTCGCCACCTCATCTGAGCGCTTGCTGTGGCAAACTTGGCGATGACCTGCCACCCAACTCCACTGGGTTACTGTTAAGAGACGTAAATTAAGTTACCAGAAACCTTAGCTGTCTTTAGGATGCCCCCTCAAAGTTAAACTTTTAGCCTCCTTAATATAGAAAGTAGGAAAACCAAAAAGTTAAAGTCCTAACAGCCAGGCAGAAGACGGCAAGTTACAGTAGTAACTTAGTTTACCCAGACCCCCTAAAGGATCCAACAAATGGAACTCCTTAATCCCCTAGGTTCCCCAATGTAGTAATGGGTTCATATTGGGGGGGGTCCATTTTTTGGATCCTTTATGGGGTCTGGGTAAGTTCCTGAACAGCATCCCAGTGCGATGGCTTTACAAAAGCCCATCAGCTTGTGCTTCTCTCAGACCACACGGTTTAGGGTTTTAGGGTTTTAGGGTTTAGGGGTTTAAGGTTTTAGGGTTTTCTGAACGCCCAAGTTGCAGACATTGGGTAGCATCCACGAAGACTACATGTCAGGGTGCCAAACAGACCCCAATCTGTCATCCAATGCTGCTGATGGAGGAAATTTTGCACCACCTAAGGCCCCTAAACTACTGCAACTCCTAGGGTTCTGGGGAGATTCCTTCCATCAGCAGTATGTACATGCCGCCGCTGTTCAGAGCAATGCCCAAATGCATTCCTTGCTTTCCCAGCTTGATGGAGATAACATGCTCTAGGCGCCGAATTTGAATGGGGTTCAGGGTCTAGGGTTTTTGCTACGTTGTTGTTGGGATCAGAGGCCATAATGCTGCGAATAATTCATGCTGGTACATTACCCGCCCTAAGCCCTAAATCCTAAACCGCCACACCCACACAGAAATAACTGAGTTGCCGTTAAGGAACTTGATTTAACTTGCTACATATTGGGGAAACCCTACTATTTACTCCATGTACCCATTACGGTAACTTAATTTAAGTTGCTTAGCAGCAACCCTACACCCTAAACCCAAAATAGTAGTTTCCATTCCGTTTTCCATAGTCCCTCTATATATCCGCTATATGAAGTTCGTAACTTAAACTATCTAACCCCTATATTAAGTTAGTAACTCAAATGAAGTTCCTGAAACCCTAAACCCTAAACACAGAAATAAGGCGGGCTTGACGTCCGCGTCGCTGCAGAGACCCATCTCCGCACACCTGAGCTAAAGCTTCCTGAGAATGACATCCATTTTGGGAATATTAGGGTAATATTGGAGTTATGTCGGAGTTATATTGGGATTATATTAGGGCTATATCAGGGTAAGATTAGAGTAATATGGGTAATATTGGGGGGTATATTGGGGCTATATTGCGGTAAGGGTAATATTGGGGTTATATTGGGGTTGCATTGGGGTTACAGTTAGGGATATATTAGGGTTAGACTGGGGTTATATTGGGTTATATTAGGATTATATTAGGGTTATCTTGGGATAATGGAAAATTGAATGGAAACTACTATTTAGGGTTTAGGGTTTAGGCTTACCCTTAAAAATCCCACCTAGGATCCATTCCCTTGTTCCCTTCTAAGCACCAGTGAGTAACCCTCTCCAACTTCCAGAAGGCTGGTCAGCAGATGCTTACAAGAGCTAATCCCCCTTTTTTTCCCAAGAAAAGCCACCACACCCCCTAGACATGTGCTCCCCAGAATTTTATATAACGGCAGTTTCTGAGCTATAGTCTAAACTCCTAGTATCCCTTAATAAGTCCTATAGTATTGCCACCCTATATAATCCTTTATAAAATCTCCTTTAAGGAGCTTAGACTACAGCTCATATGGGGAATAACAGTTGCCGGAGGGAATAAGTTTTTCTCTTAGTTGCCACCACAGGCCGGAAGCCCGCAGCAATCGTCAGAGAGGCGTAGGATTTCTGCCAACAAGGCTCTAAACCGTTAGGGTTTAGGGTTTGGGGTTTAGGGTTTAGGGCTTGGGGTTTAGGGTTTAGGGTTTAGGGTTTAGGGTTTGGGGTTTAGCCTTGAACTCCTAAGCCCCAAAACCCTAAACTCCTAAACCCTGAATCCAAAACAGTCCTGAGCCCCCGGCTGAGCTGGAGTCCAAACAGGCGTCTCTGGAAAGAAGAACGACTGAACACAGGATTACAGTTGAGGGTTTAGGGTTTTGCGCGCAGCCCAAGATAAAGGTGCTGGATCAAAAGGGACATTCAGTGAAGGAGCAAGCGCTAGTTCTGACTTCACTTTGCAAAAATCTGGGACTTTCCGATCGCTGAAGCGAAGATCTTCGCGCCTGTGTCAAATCCAGCAAGACGTAAGAATACCTGGCTCCAAGACATTGAACTTACGCAAGGTGGTGCTTGAAAACAAGGCAAGACCCACAGCTTTTTCTGATGCGCGAAAGGGGACTTCGCGCAGTTGAAAGATTTGGCAGAGGTCTGCTTGGGAAAGCCAAGGCCAAGTCTCAACCTGAAACCCGTGCAGGTAGCAAACATTGGCGGGCAGACCACATCACCAATGTCACGATTGTCCTCAGGCACACTTCGTACATTGCTCTTGCTACATTGGCATATCCGTAGGTCAAACCACCTTGAAAGTGAACTGCCCATCCCTGGCTGGACTTCTCCTCAAATCTACGGGGTTGCTGTTAAGGAACTAAAATCACGTTACCCTAATGGGTATATATAGTAAATAACATTGTTTCCCCAATATAGTGACTTGAACTAAGTTCCTTAACAGCAACCCAATCTAATCTGACCCAACCTTTTGAAGTCTTGATAAGAGCTGAGAGCACCCTTTGTCCTCTAAACCCCAAACCCTAATGCAGACCCGTGATTAATTAATCCCGTCCCCTTAATAGGGATTATAATAGGGATCTTAATATTAAGGCCCTTAAAAGGAAAGGGGGTTATGAATTACAGGTCTACAGGTATACATTAAACCCTAAACCCCAAGCCGAGGCGCGTTATGCCACTCAGGAAGTCGAGCAGAACAAATGGATTGCCGAGGACCCGGAAGGCAATCACCTGGTTAAGGGTTTTGGATTTTGGGTTGAGGGTTTAGGGTATAGAGGGCTTACGGGTACATAGGGTATATAGGAATCATGGAGAATCAAATGGAAAAGAACATGGAAAATGAAATGGAAACTGCAATTGTATAAGTAGGGATTTAAGAGCCCTGAAGAATCCCAGCTTTTGTTTCATGTTCCATTTCCTTGTCCATTTGATCCTCCGTTATTGGAATAATATCCTATACAACCCCTACACACTTCCCGAGATAGAGGGGGATCCGCTTGCAGAAATTCCCACATGTCAGTTGAATGCTGGAGCTGCAGACGGCGTGCTGCAGCATACTGGCATAGCAAGTGTTCAAGTTAGACTGGACACACCACATTAAAGCTTCACTCTTCCAGCTGCCTAATATGCTCCCTATGGCAAAAGAGCTGTCTTGCTGGTGCTGTAGGGGGAGTGCCCCTTAACCTTGAACCCTTTCAATCATAAAAAACTAAACCCTAAACCCGTAATTCGGTACCATGAAACCCATTTTCCACCCCACTCCACCTGAACTTACTGGCGCCTCAGGAAGAGTGGAGGGGGGATCCCCATAATAATCCATAGTAATCCATAGAATAGTCCCTATATTCACTCCCCCACCTTAAACCTTAAATCCTGTTACATAGGGATCACGTTCCCTATATTCAACCCCAAGCCCTAAAACCCCCTAAGCACCAGTAAGGAAAGACTTCCCTGTGCTGCCTGGAGGACAATGAACAGCCTCTCCCCAAACTTGCTCGCCTTGCCCTGCAAAGCGAAAAATTGTTTTGAGGGTTTAAGATTTAGGGTTTAGGATTCAGGGTTTGGGGTGGGGCTCAGGGTTTAGGAGTTGGGGTTTGGGGCTTGGGGTTTAGGGTTTATGTCTTGGGGTTTAGGGTTTAGGGATGGGCCCCTTTTGGTTGTAAATTATATTACGGCACCTAGTATGTAAGGGTACCAGAACGGGACCCTAATTTTGGGAACTACCGGCGCGCTTAGGGTTTGGGGTAGCTATCATAATACGATAACCTACTATAGCAATACTAGAACCTACTATAACAATACTACAAGCAATGACGAAGCACATTCGAGCTACAGTCTAAACTCCTAAAAGGGTGGTTTTATATGGGATTATATAGGGGAGTATAATCCGGGTTAACAAGGGGGATACTAGTTTAGACTATGGCTCATATCAATCGCCTCCCCCTAATGTTAAACCTCCCACCCCCCCCCTCATATTAAATATTCCCAATGTGCTATAGTATACCACATAATGGGAATGTTTAAAATTTGTGGAGGGGGTTGTTTCAATATTAGGCGGAGGGGAGTATAGTTATAGCTTAGGAACACCAAGGAGAACCACGCTGGAAGAGCAAAAGATTCCCTGGTTTGCAGAAGGAGTGGTCGTTTCGTGTTGTTTGCGTTAGGGATTAGGGTTGAGCTGCAACGGTGTGGCTGAGACTCGTGAGAAATCCAAAAGTGGCAGTTACAAACAAGATCCATGAGATCCAAAATTAACAAGCGTCATTCAACCTGAATAAAGGATAGCATAGCGAATGTGAGGGCAATCCGAGCAATCCCTGCTCCCTAAAAATTAAACATGCCCAACATGCCACAACATACCACAATGGAAATACATAGCCTTGGGGGGGATCAATAATCCTTAACAGCTATTTGGGGAGTTGATTGGTAACCCTAAGCCCTAAACCCTAAACCGCGTACAGGATAGGGGGATAAGAGGCCAACGGCAAGCTCGGTCTACCATGCCTATGCTCATATTCACCTTCTGCCTGCCTTGTCTATAATAAGCAACAACTAGAGACCACTTTCAAAGCCCCTAGTGCATGTACTCTGACAATTCGTACCACATCGGGTGAATCTTTATTAGAGGGGTGGAAGGCGTCATTGTTTGGGAGAGGGGGTAAACATGGAACTCCAAACCGTCTCGTATCAAGACGACTGCACGTTCTATGTGTGTTCATGGGAGAATACCATGTTGTTTAGAAGGGGTGTTAGAGGAGGGAAGGCGGCAACCTAATGCGCTTCAATACTCCGAAAGCACCCTTCGGCTCCGTACTCGAAATCATTTTGACAAAGCCTCAAAATCCATGCCGGTATTGGCACGACTTGTTTGGAAAGTGAGGTGCCCATTGCTGATGTCTTTCAAGGGGTCTACTTTTGATGGCCGCTGCTTCGCAGAAACTCTGCTTTGTTAGCGCACATTGTGTCGCAAATTATACCGTCAAAATACGAAGAAACTAACATGACGATAACAATCCCAGCAACAAGCTGCAAAATGCAAAGCCGCGCATCAGCCACAATCCAAAACTGGAAAACACAAAGGCCTACACCTGTGCGGCACATAAACTGCCTATGGATCCTTCCATATTTTGCACTATATGAAAGCTACTTGGTGCCTGTGTGAGCAGCTGGGAAATGGATTTTGGGGGTTCTAGACCTAGCAAGTACAAGGACGCCGATGTCCTTGCCGATCCCTCATAATAGCTGGACGCCCATCAAAACCTACCTGAGCTATGTCTAAACTCCTAGTATCCCCCTTAATAACCCCTGTAATAATCTTAGCCCACATTACCGTAGGAAGAAAAAAAGATCCTTTTTACATGAATGCTAAAAGGTATAAAGCGCACCGTTGCATGTGAGCAAAGTCCCGTGTCTTGCGTGAGACATGCTACTCTACGGCATTGGTCCAGAAAGTATAAAGGATCCCTAATATTGATCCAGTAATGCCCTATGTAAGCCCCTGCAGAATCGCCTTTCAGGAGCAAAGCCTAAAACCCTAAACCCTAAAACCCTAACCCCTAAAACCCTAAACCCTAATCTCACCTGAAGACACTATCCCCTCAAGGCTCTGAACCCTAAAAGCGAAACTTGAAAACTAAAACAGTTTTTTTTAGTGGTTTCCCTAAGCCCTAAACCTTATATAATTGCGGCTGTAAACCCTGAACCCTCACCCCAACCCCTAAACCCCAAACCCTAATACCCTAAACCCTCACCCCCAACCCCTAAACCCCTAAAAGGTAAACCGATCAGCCGTGGAAGCCGAGGCAAAGCCCGGAGCCTTGCGGATGCCACCCAAAGTCGCCCTGATGTCAGAATGTAAGGTTTAGGGTTTAGGGTTTTAGGGTTTAGGGTTTTAGGGTTTAGGGTTTTAGGGTTTGAGGGTTTGAGGGTTTTAGGGTTTTAGAGATTTAGGGTTTAGGGTTTTAGGCTTTAGGGTTTTAGGGATTTAGGATTTAGGATTTTTAGGGTTTTAGGGTTTTAGGGTTTAGGGGTTTAGGGTTTAGGGTTTTAGGGTTGAAGGTTTTAGGGTTTGGGTTTTAGGGTTTTAGGGTTAAGGGTTTTAGGGTTTAGGGGTTTTAGGGTTTAGGGTTTTGGCTTTAGGGTTTTAGGGTTTAGGGTTTAGGGTTTTAGGGTTTAGGGTTTAGGGTTTAAAGACTCAGTCCCTACTAACCACGAACAAGCTTCCGATTCCCGACACCAGGCCGCCCAGCGTCAC